ATATATATATATATATATATATATATATATATATATATATATATATATATATATATATATATACACATGCAGATTTTGTTGTAATATTTTTTTAAATATGCATTATGAGGTCAAATGTGGCCAGCATTCTAGGTTAAGTGGGTTCTCCTTTCAAGTGCTGTAATAAGAACTGTGCAATTACAAGCAACCAATAATTACATATTAAGCTCATGTTGTTCATTAAAATTACTTGGTACTTACTCATGCAATTACAGTACGCTGCAAAATGCACTGTAAAGTACAGCATAACCAAATAAACAAAAGCATTTAAACTTAACACAAATAGTTGTACCAACTTCACTCTCATCTTAACATCTAGAGAGGGCGATGAGTAACGATGTTACTAATATGAACATCATTCTGACACACACAACCGATAAAACCCTTACTGTCGCTCCCAGTTCTAAACTGACAGTGCATAAATTTCCACCCTTTCAAAAGCTGTAATTTCACTACCCGTCCATCTATTCCTGGAAAATGACAGGGCGTGGAATCTGTGGTTCCACTGATATATTTGTAGGAATACTCTCATTTTAATGGCACCATGTCCTGGCCCTTAATTCTTATACTACAATACCAATAGGTTTTAAAAGATTATTCAAAATACAGGTTTGTGATTTGAGAAATGGTTTTGTTATTGGCAATACTTGACAAAGGTGTGAATTATTACTTCAGACAGCTGCTCTGTGAAGGATATTTTTATATAGGTAACTTTGACATTTAAATACATTATTAATGTAATCAACTTCACAGGCTCTCCAAGCAGATGTATAACCACTTTTCTTCCATGCTTAAACAGTTGCATGGTACTAAGATTAGGTGGCTTTTTCATTGGAGAAAGCAATATTATGAACAGAGGACACATATTAAGACAGAAGCAATAGTTTGAAGTTAAAAACATCTTAATGATGAATTTGATTATTGTGATGTTTTTATCAGCTGTTTGAACTCTCATTCTGATGGCACCCATTCACAGCATAGGATCCATTGGTGAGCAAGTGATGTAATGCTAAATTTCTGATGAAGTTGATGAAGAAAAACTGAGGATGTGTAACTTTTCAGCAAATTTTCATTTTTGAGTGAACAATTGTTTTTAGGTGGCTATGAGTTTTTATACAACCAATAAAACAAATCTCATCCTGTTCAGTTTAGACTGGAGTCCTATATACCCACCCACTCACTCTCTCGTTCACTTTCCTGTAACATAATGAAGTCAGCCCACATAAAGTCCATTACAGTCAAGCTCATTTGAGAAATATCACTCAAACTGAAATATCACCCCCATTGAAATTACTCTGTCTACTTTGAAAGAAGCGTAGAGTTCAACATTTCTGGAAAACTATTGCTGCACTTCACAATGTGAAGAGAGTAATACTGCCTGTGGATTGATGTGAAAGCAAAAGACTCGCACCGTAAGCTGTAGACAGCACTGTTGAAATTCAGGTAACATAAACCATCAGCATCTCTGTCTCAGCTTGAGAGCTTTTAACATCACAACAACAACTCGCTCCTGCCCACAAATATGTCACCACAAAAGGTTTGGAAAAAAACTAACAAAAAAAATACAAGTATTAACAAGCTCACACAGAGGAGTAATTTTCTTCAGCACCATGTCAGTCAAAGCATAATTGGCTTGACGGATGCAATTATTGTTTTAAATTCAGTTTAGTGATGTTCCCTTTAGTCATTTATTAGCTGGATTTTGCTTCCTAAGCTCCCTGGTGGCATTCCCACCTCTCGCTATACGCTATGTTGGGGGATTTTTACTTTATTCACAGAGTGATGATTGATTGTAATGTTGGTTAATTTGCAAATAATGAAAACAGTTCATGGCATGTGATGCTGGAGATGCAGTAGATCTTGCTGAATCATGTACAGCTGCAGCGTTTGGACTATGGACTATGACATTGGAATGGAAACTCATTTTATTCAAACCAGGCCTCTTCATTCAAACAGTTCTTATAAAACATACATGCATAAACAGGGTAATTCAAAAGGGCTTTCTGTTTTGCCTTCGTTTTTGCAATAGAAAGCATAATAATTCATGACTTATTAACATGACTGTGGAGGATTAATATTGCTGAAGCACTTTAGTGCTTATACAGCAAAGAATAATGAAATAAAACATGTTAGTTAAGTACAATAAATGGACTAAATAGTTTAAAAAGCAACAAGATAAATACATTGTCTATACATTTAGAGAAGTAATTAAATATCTTCTAAAATACTATATATATTTTTCTATATTTTTTTCTCTGATCATTTGGTATATTTAATGTAAAAATAAACGATGCACCTTTCTTCAGTCTTATTTCTAACAGTGCTACTGTTTGTTCCTAGGGGTGTGTATTGCACCTGCATTAATGTCTGTCAGATGTCTATTTATTTAATTTAGGGATTTTTAAAAGTTTTGTGGGTTCTATTTTAATGCCGCTCTTTACTTTCACCTCCTAAGTATTACAAACATTGTGTATTTTTGTGAACACTAACGTAAACCATAAAGAGTTTTGGCCAAGCATGCACTCTAAAAAATGCTGGGTAGTTTCAACCCAACTTTGGGTCAAATATGGACTAACCCAACCGTTGGGTTAAATTTTTACATTAAATTTTTGACCCAAAAGTTGGGTTAGTCCATATTTGACCCAAAGTTGGGTTGAAACAACCCAGCATTTTTTAGAGTGTATGATTGCTGTCATGTGTGGTCTCTGATTCTTCTCTCTGCACGCAACTGCATCGTACAGACAATAAAATCACATCCTTATTTGTCATTTTAATCCTTCAGTTCTCTCCAAACATCTCAGCAACACACTGTCTGTCATCTGAAAGTGAAATATGATATTTTGACCATTCTGACAACAAGCTTGTCCTGCTGGTGACCCAGAATCTCTTTGGCGTGCCACAGAAAAACAACCCCGCAGTGCCAACGCCTTGATAATGCCAGTCAACAGCTCACTAAGACGTGTGACATTTGTATCACAGCAATATGCCCGCCAATGGGACTATGCCACTGCTGCACTGAACAAACGGCATATGCAAACTTGCATGAATATTCACAATTTTTTTTTTTACAGTTTTTTTTTCAGTGATGCCACAGAATAACCATTTTTGGTTCCTCAAAGAACCTTTCATTGAATAGTTCTTAAAAGTACCATTTTTTCTTAGTGTGAAGAACCTTTAAAAGACTGTAAAATCTGTTAACTCTCTCTGCCCAATATTTAGAGACTGACTTTGATTTTTTGCAACTAGTTCCTGACTGTAAATATGGCCAAAAGTTGTATTCCAACCTTCAGCAACACAATGTGAATCAAAGCATGGGCCAAAGTTGAACACTTTATTGTGATAAATGAAGCCACAGATCATTGGAAAAAAAATAGCTGTGTTTCAATCCTTCATTGTCTCAAACGGAGCCAAGTACTGCAGGCCAAACACCAAGAGGGAACAGAGATGGCAGCTTATGGCCAGATGTTGTTGTGCGTGGAGGTGTCACGTCTAAACAGAAAGCGGTTTCTCACATCTGGTGTAAAACTGTTTGCTTGGCAGGAATTTCTTCCTTTCAGTGCATCGAAAAACAAAAAGCCCAGTTCAGGTCTTCTGCGTTTGATTGGTTTGACTAGAGATGCAGTATTTCCTGTGGTCTCTCAGGGCGCTAAACAAACGGACAAACACAGGCCATCTGGATGCATTGTGGTCTGTAGGGCGTTTGGACCAGACTGACCATGTGGTCTGCACAAAATAAGTCAAGTCAATAAGGCAGTTAAGTACTAGCACACTACTGCATTCCCTAGTATTCTTTAAGAAGAAAATAGTATGGCTTACTGTTCTATAATATGCTGTGCTCTGTTGTATACTGATGATTTTGCCAAGTACTGTAGATCATCCAGGTATTTCATGCATGCAGAATATTTGCATTCTGTGCAATACAGAAAATTTGCAAAGTGTGTATTGTATACATACTATATACTGCAGAAATAGTATGAGTAGTATGGTGGTATGACATTCCCAACATGTTTCAGACGCCATTACACCCATACATTTTAACACCCTCATGTACACACGCCTGCATTACTTCAACACAACCTTGATATATTGCCATACACTTAACCTTGTAACAACTGCTTGTAAAGTGTCAAGCTTCATCCAAGTATCACAAAATAAACACATTGACTGGTATCACTCTCCATAATATATGTGCACATAAAGAGATCTTCAATACAGTTCTCCACTATAGTCCATTCATGACTGAGATTTTGAACAGACCCGGAACCTCACATATAACATTTACATACATTTAATCTTTAAAGCCCATGTA